TCTATCTTGTTGAGGGCCTTCTCCTTTTTCATTGACCCTCCACTTTACCAAGCATTATATCTTTCTCCAGGGAATGCTCCCTTCTGAAAACATGACCAAAGTAAATAAGACAAGTCTGTCCTTTCTCACTTTTATCCAGCTCTCACATGCATATGAAGCTGTTAAAAACACTATGGCTTGGGTTAGGCGCACCTTAGTCTTCACAAAGACATCTTTGCTCTTAAGCACTTTAAAGAGGTTTTTTGCAGCAGATTTGCCAAGTGCAAAACGTCTGATTTCCTGACTGCTGCTTCCATTGGTGTTGATTGTGCAACCAAGTAATATTAAATCTTTGACAATTTCAATCTTTTCTCCATTTATTATGCTGCTGCTTATTGGTCCAGTTGTGAGAATTTTCATTTTATTTTTGTTGAGATGTAATCCATACTGCAAACTGTAGTCTTTAGTCTTCATCAGTAAGTGCTTCAAGTCACCATTTTTAAAGATAGGAAGATTTTATCCAGGAGCCTCAGTTGATTGTAGGATTGACTCATGGTTGGGGGTTTGTTAGGTTTCATAGCCAGGTGAGCTATATCGTTGTGTGGCAATAAAGCCGTTCAAGCTACAGATCCTAATGTCTGTATTATAAAGAGAGGCTGGGCCACTTTGGTACACATAGAAATGGAAAAGAAGGGTAGACTATCCAATATTTAGCACCTAATTAGATTTGAAAATATAAAATGAAACAGAGAAGTAAGAAGTTGATTGAGCTGGATTTGGAAAGAAATCCCTATCTTCACTGTTATCGTCATGATAACAAGATTATGACTCCTAGCGACCCCTCTTTGGGTTTCCAAGGCAGTATCATTACCGAAGTAGATTGCTAGTGGGTTTGAACTGCCAGCCTTCTGGTTAGCAGTCAAATGCCTTAGGCACTACACCACCAGAGCACCCTCTTTATCATTAGGACCTAACAAAGAAATGACTGTCATTTAAGAAATTGCAATGGTTGTACAGAACTGGCCAGTCTTTTAATGTTTTTAATCAGAAATCTGCCATACTAGGAGCTCTGGTGCTGCAGTGGTTAAAGAATACAGCTGCTAATCAAAAGATTGGGGGTCGAAACCCACCAGCTGCTCGCAAGAGAAAGAGGAAGCAGTCTGCTTCTGTAAAGATTTACAGCCTTGGAAATCCTATGTGGCAGTTCTATCTGGTCGCTATGAGTTGGAATCGAAATTAATGACTGTGGATTTCGTTTGGTTTGGTTTTCCTTACTTTACTTAGAAGCTAATTTAAAAATTCTCTTCATTCACAATCAGAAAAAGTAATCTTATACTCCGACATCACCTTAAAATGAAATCACCACATATGCTTTTGTTATTGTTAGGTGCCCTGCAGTTGGCGCCCAATTCATGGGGCATTGTGTATTTCGGAGTAGAACTGTGCTTTATAGGGTTTTTTGGCTGTAATCTTAAGGGAAGTAAATCGCTAGGGATTTCTTTCGCAGAGCCCATCGCAAACCCTGGCACCAAGCAGGCTCCTTTATACCATTTTAATACAGCATTTGGCCATCCAGATTGCGCTGTTCCCATCCAAACCACCAGATGGCGACCCGGCGCCCACTTCCCACTGCAGCCTTAATTCTCTAAGGCAGGCGCCGCTCTCTCGGAAGCCCGGGAGCGCGCACGTCCCGGAGCTCGCGTCTATAGCCTGCGCTGGTGACGTGCACGCGGTCAGACCTGGTTTTTAGGCTGAACGAGTGCGGGGG